AAAAAAAAAACAAATGATAATAAAGATAAAATTTTATTTTTGTAAAAAAACAAACAAACAGATGGTTGAACAGATTCCGATGGTGTTATTTGACATGAAATTTCAATTGAAAAATTCCGTTCTAATAACATTCGTTCATCTGGTAATAAATTTTCATCAATATCAATTTGCTATTGTATATCAGTTAAAATTGTTTCTTTTTTACATGTTAATTTTAATTTAGTTGGTTCTTCAAATTCAAAAAGTCCATAAGAAAATTTTTTTTAATAAATAAAAATTTCGTTTGTCTTTACTGATGAACAACAGCATCTTTATATAATTTTTCAACATCATCTGAATAAAAAAAAATAAATAAATGAGAAAAGAAAATATACATAAGAAAAAAAAAGTAATTTACGATGCCATAAAATAACAATTTTCGAATAAACATAATAACGACCAAGTATAAGATGACCATCAAGAATAAGTGCTAATTGTGAACAACGACATGTTTTAGAATTAACATATTGAAGAACATCTCTATAAATATTTTTAAAAATCGGTGAATTAATTAATATTTTAGTTACCAAATATCGTTGACCAGCACATTTTTTATATAAAATGAAGATTAAAATAAATTCAATTTAATTATTTTACCAAAGAATTTGTAATGATGGACTATGAGCAAAAACATTTTGTGATTTTTGTTGTCGACATTTTACTTCGTTTTACTGATGGTAAAATGAATTAAACTAGACTAATCTAACAGACGTATATATGTCCATCTGTTATAGCGAGAGAAAACGAAAAAGATGTGTATACAGTAGTGGCTAAAATTATAAGAACAGACTGCTAGTCGTCTATTCACTTCATGTTTCTCTTTCTGCACGTGATGCATTCGACTGATATTCAGTCTTGTACCTAGATTTCGATATGCTCTTTCATAATATATGAAGAGCAGGTCCGCATATCATGTGATCAGTATTAAAGAAAATTTTGAAAAATTAATCATCGTTTTTGTCTGACCAAAATTATAAGAACAACAATATCTTTAAAGGTTTTTTCCTACCAGTTTTCGACTGATTGTTTTCAATAATACATCAACTAATATATAAGAGTGTTGACTATTCGTTGGCATAAAGAACTTGTAAAAATTCTAATGCTTGGTCTATAAAATCAAATTGCACCTCGCATAGGATTAAAATTTAAGAAAATCAAAGCTTTCAAGCTAAAATTAAACCCAAACTCATTCAAAAGTATGTCATAAAAAACAGCGTAAAAAACTATATCTAGTGAAATGATTTTTAACCGTAGTTGTTGAAGAAAGTCATGTTTCAAAGACTTATGATACTAGTTGATGGACACTGGAGTCGCGCCTAAAAAGTGTTAGTGACCACTAGAAAACTCGCTCCAATGAGCTTTCTTTCTAGTATATCTGAGAGACCAGCCGATTATGTGCAAGTCACATGAAAATATTGAATTGTCAAAAAATAGTCATTTTTTACAGACAGGTCACAAAAATCGAATTCAATATCTCAAGAAAGGAACATTCATTTTGGCTGAAACTTTCAGGCAATTCTAATGACTATTAGATCTATCTATGGACAAAATTTCAGGTCAACATTCTTTAATTCAATCTTTTCGGAAATTCCTTGCCACTGGTCCAAAATTCAGTAGAACGGCCATAATTCTTCATCAATAGACCATGGACACGAATCATTTTAGGCTTTTCTTAGTCTTATAGAGACCTACCTTGTAATCATAATATGAAGTCGGACGGCGTCCTTAATTTGGGGACCTTCTCTCGACAGTTTTTGTTCGAGAGTAGGTGAAGAAATTGTTTTAAAGATCCAAATATTCAAATTTGAATCCCACAGAGATTGTATTAATAGTTTGTTAATAATAATTTATTTATTTTAGAAACCAACATCATCATCATCATCATCATCTCTAACTGAAAATACAGAAAAAAAGAAACGTTTATCAACAACAATAAAACGAAAACATATTAATTCTCCATCAATATCAATAAAAATAAAAAAAGAAGAACAAGATATATCAATGATGTCATCAACAAATAATATATATCAATCACAATCATCATTTACATATTTATTATCATGTTCAAATGTTATCTCAAAACATTTATATAATACAATATTATTATCTCCTGCACGTCCATCATCATCATCATCACCTAATATTCCTATTTCACCGCCATCATTTTCTCAATTTACAATTAAAAATCCTTTGATTGTACAATCATCAACAAAACAAAATCGAAAATCAACTCCATTACCTACACATGTCATTCATCCATCTCGAATAAATATTCAAAATGTAATGATACCACATGATCCAATGGTAAATCTACAATTATATCTAAATATATCATCATCATCACCATTACAATTATATGATGAAAAAATTAAAGAATCATCATCATCTGAAAATTATTCTCAACATCTACAGGTACTATGACATTTAGTAAATAAAACAAAAAAAACAAAAAAGTAAATATAACTTCATAGGATCTAAAGAGTGATGAATAGAAAAGTAAATCACGCGTTATAGTCGCATGATTGACTTTGATTTTAAAATAGTTTAACAAAAGATCTTATCATTTTTCAATAGACAGGACGATAGAAAATGAATAATCTTATAAAGTAAGAAATCAAATTCAATGAATTTTTATCAGATATTGATTAGCAAGAAAAGAAATAATTTTTTTTTTTCGCTGGTAATCAATACTTCTAATAGCATTATTCTCGAAATCGTATCTGACAGTCAAGTATTGTGTCTCGGTTCAATAGTATCACTCTCTCATATATCTAATGAGAGAATCATTCGAATTGATATTCACCGTTTCAGCTTATACTGGGCCTAGAAAAAGATCTTGGTGAGAGTAGTAGGCCTTTAAAACCAATTTATGATCGTCTTATTGAATTTTCGACTTATAATTTTGCCCATAGGAAGGTTTAATCATCCGTAGAATATTCTAAAAGTTTCAGTCAAAAAGAATGTTCTTTTGTCGAAATATTGAATTTCGAATTTTTTTTTCAGCTGAAATTTTCAAGATATTTTAAAGATTATCTCACCTACCTATGAACAAAATTGTAGGTCAAAAATTCAATAAAACGATCATAATTCAGCTTCAAAGGTTTATGACGACGAATCCTTTAAATTTTTTACTAGGCTTACCATGGTGCCCTTGTAAATCATATATAAGCTTAAGCAGGCCTAGAAATTTTGGAGCCGATGGATACTCCACTGGTCTCCTAAAATCATTAAAATATCTATAGATAATGGAAGATCGGAATTTCGATCCGGTCTCCAAAATTACGAAAATTTCAGATTGAGATGAAATTAATCTGATTAATCCTCATAAAGTGTTTTATTTTCTATGAACAATTGATATACTCTCTAGTGCTTCGTACTATGCCGTCTTGCTATGCGCACTACAGAATGTATCAACTAGACTCTTTACTCATATTTCGACCCTGTCTAAAAATTCCTGTAACTCGGAATTATATATATTCTAATAAATTATTGTTCGTTAATCATAATAGTCGATAATGTCTTATATGGCATGATGATATTATTTTTCATATTATCTCTAAAAAAATTGATTTTTATTCGAGAAATATTGAAATCAAATTATCATTTTAGACCAATGGAATATCTTTACATCATTCATATGTTGGATCATCACCATATCAATCTTCATCATATATTTCACAATATCCAATACATTCATCATCACCATCATCATCAATTCTAACAAGTTTATTATATCGTTTTCTTTCAAATATTGATCGATTCGAACCAGATTTTTGTTTTCCACAACAAATATCTTCACCATTAAATGAATCAATTCGTTATACACAATCACCACAATTTGATCATTTACCTGGTAAAAGAAAAAAATTTCTATATTAAATATTGGAAAAATTTTTGTTTTTTTTCATAGTGCCAAATCCTACTTCATTAATTATAAATACACCAATAACATCGCCATATTCAAATCCACCTACTAGTCATAGTTCACCATTATCTCCAAATCAAAAGTGCAATAAAGATAATAATAGTATGTAACCATCACCAAATATACATTCAACATCTTCATCATGTTCATCTTTATCATCATTAAATATTATTACATCACAAAAACAAATTCAAAAAAATATAATGAAAAAAGAAATACAAGATGATAAACAACAAATTAATGTTGAAAATCAACCATCACCATTAGCAGTACTTAAAATTGTTCCTGATATTGATAGTCCAATAAAAAAAAAAATATATATACCATCAGCTTTTCTTATTAATACACCATCATCATCATCATCATCAACAACAATATCAAGTAATACACATTTTAATTATGATAATGTTCAACAAGTAAAAAAATCTGAATCTACTCAAAGTTCATTTTATTGGCCATCACAATTACGAAGACAATTAAATTTTAATGTTACAAATAAAACATTAAATCCACTTCCATCAACACCATATACACCATCACCAATGCTTAGTCCATTTCGAAAAAGTCCTGATCTTTATTATCGTGTTTTTTCTCAATCAGGTACATCAACAGAACCATCATCAATACCAACAACACCACTTCCACCATATACACCTATTAGTGAAGAATTAGCAGGTCCAAAAATTAATATTAGTAAAGAATATCAAGCAATTATACCGAAATTTCGTACAAAGTTACAAGATGATGAAGAAGGTTTGTACAATAAACATCAGATTGATAATATGAGAATTACTAGGTCTTTTCTTGTTTCTCATAATCGAAAGATTTGATCAATAGGAAGAGTAA